AGTTATTTTTAATTGAAACAAACTGCCACAAGCTTTTAAGGCATATAAATGCCTGGTTTTTATGTCACAAGGAAAGGTTAGTCCTTCCTCATCCCATCTTAAAACAAAAACAAAAAACAACACCCCACAACACCCCAAAACCATAAAACCTTCACACCAAAAAATTACTAAATTACTTCTAATCTGTCTGGATGAGAGATACTGACACAGGAAGTGTGTGAGGAGCAACTCATTTATCTTTCCAGCAAACACAATGCTGTGATTAATTTAAATACTACATTTTTTAGTCTAACACATTTCCACTTTCAAGTCAACAGCCTACCTCTGTAGAAGGGAAACTCATGCATTTCTCATTCATGCTTTCAGCTCCTGCAAACTAGTTTTAAGCTTAGATTTCTGTTCATTATGTTCAAAATGGCAACATTTATGATACGAAACTCCCTTAGGCTTGGAAAAAAGCCAAAGGAGGATTTGAGTGCAGGAATGTTGACATCAGAAATACAGACAGAGCAATCAAGCAACATTATCATAAAGTTTTTATTTTTTTCTTAAATATCAAATTTTTTTACACATCAATTTTGTTGAGAAACAGTCCCCCGATATTAAAAAACAAAATCAAAAAAGAGAATCAAGTGTGTATTACTTTGGGCAGAACCACATCCCATTTTCTTATGACACAACCACTCCTCCCGTCAACCATCTGCAAGGACAACCGCAGTGTGTTCAGCCCAGAAGAGTAAATGACACAAATGCAACACCAGCTTTAGGATTCCTGAGTATTGATTCCCTCAAGTTCCTTAATGAGTTTGTAAAACTCTTAAGCTAAAAAGCATCAGTCAAAGAGTAACCCAAACTGCTCTGTATTTGGATTACAGGCTAAGCTAAATCTAGAGAGTGCAGGAAGAAGTCTCTTGAATGCTTCAGAAGGGAATGGTATACACCAAGCCAACTCTATGTCCCATGGCGGCCTCAGAGAGGCAAGCAAAAGACCTAGTGACTTCTCCTCTTCAAATTTCTGTTCAAGTTCTAGAGGGGAGCCATTTGGCAAGAAGTCCAAGTCTGGTGAAGAAACCTCTAGGATCTGTTCCTCCCCTTGTTCGTGAATAGCCTAGCATCTTAAAGAAAACTCCTCTGAAAGTTAAGCATTCAGCAAGTATACTTAAATATTGCTTGCTTTTGAGGAAAGGAGATGGCAAGGGACTTGAGAAGGAGGGAGACACAAGGATAGAAAGAAGGGGTATCTAGGGTTTAACAGTCCTGGGAACCAAGTATCTATGTATAAGGTTGACTGTTACCAAAAGATGGAGATTGTCACAATAATTCAGTGTAGCTCAGCTCTGTTCAGTAGCAAGTAAACATGCCAGAGACCATCACCAAGAAGTATTTGTTCCTCTTGTCAGGCTTAATGTCCAGAAACTTCCAGATGTTCCTCGTTCTCTTTTAGAGAAAGAGGTATCTTCCCCTCACCTCTAAAGATTACCTGGAGTCCCATTTATAGAAACATGTATTTAACTGCACAAAAGATCCCTTCAGTATCTCTTAAGGAAAAGAGTACATTTTAGAAACCAACAGAAAGGTACATGATCACAGGGGCTTCAGGAAATACCAAAACAAACTGTACAGACCCAGAAAGGTCCCCACAGGCAGTGGCATCTTTAAACAGCAGCTTCTGCGTGTTGCTTTAGAGATAGACTTTTCATCGGAAGATGCTAAGAATCATTGTGCCAAGCTGTGCAATAGTTAGTACATTGGAGGAATGATGAATGAGGAGGATCAGAAGAGCAGAGATCCTTGTTTTAGCCCAGGGTACATTTATCCCTCAGGGAATCGTCTCCCAGGTGGGTTCTGAGCGAGCACCACCAGCGAGACATCTTGTGTATCACAGTACCTAGGTGCAGTCCCAGCATGGGAGCCCAAGGGGACCTCTTTTCTCCATCCAGACTGCTAGGGGTCTGTGCAAAGGCTGGGGAAGTGCTGGGGTATCTTCAAACACATGGCAAAGACTGACAAAGACCCTGGGGAGAGTAAACATGAGAAAAGCCTATACACAGAGCGCTTAGGATGTGCTACAGAATCCATGTCAGGATTCAGTGTTCACTACATATACTTCTATAGTGTTTTATTTTAACTTTATAAATACCACTGCTTGAACTTCCTTGGACTTCACTAAATCTTGATCCTGAACAGCTTCTCGCTCAAAGCTCTGTGAAGCTGAGATATAAATCACCAGGCTTGGACTAACTTCATAAAATTGATATTTGTTTAAAAAAAAAATCTATTAACTGAGGGGGTCAGGCTACTGTTTCAAGCAGTTCAGAGAAAGTTACTTAGGAAATTCTGGCAGTACTGATAAATACTTCAGTAAAGCTTTGACAGACGGGTAGATTCCAAAAACAAATCAAACTTGACAAAGAACAAAATACTGACTATTGAAGCAAGCTGGCTGATGCTCTAAAGCTTTTACATAACTCTATATGCAGTCTCTAAGTAAATGTCGTTGTAAAACTAGAAACTTTAACCAGTTTGGTGCAAAGCAGCTGTATTTCATCTAGCTATTAATAATTGCTTCTAAAAACATTACGTGTAGCTATGAAAAGGGTATAACATTGACTGGCTAACATCTGATGCTGTAAATACCTGTCAGTAAATCAACCTGCAGGCTGAGGGTGCAAACGCAGCTCGCAGATATCGGCGAGGGCAGCTGCGCAGCTGGTCGTGTTCAGCACACTGACCCCACGTACCCGAGTGACCACCTCACTGAGACCTGTGGAATGAACTGGGAGGAGATGCTGGCTGTTTAGACAGAGGATGCTCTGGATCCAAGTGCTGGGAGCTTCATTCTAGCTGCTGCATTTGATAGTGAAACAGATACAGGTAGGGATGTGTCTGCTAGCATATCTTATTTCCCAAATCCACTAGCAAGAGCTCTCAGGAGTTTGTACTCTTGTACTACCCCACACCCTTGACAGACAGGGCTTTTGCAGGATTTGGATGTTTAAAAGTTTCAGCAAGGGGCAACTCCTACCACCTGCAAGGCAGTGAGGAAGCAGCTGTAGTCCTGCCTCAGTAACTCCAGTTAAGCTTAATGATCCTTTCAGTTGCTCAGGACAAGGGGTTCCCAAACCAAACTGCTTCCTATGCACACATACTGCTGGCATGAGAGGTGGGATATAAGCCGAGCGCGTTCGGCAGCCCCAAACCCGGGTGGTGCAGTCACAGTTCATTGAAAGCTCTGACAGGGGAATGCCTTAAAGCTGTTTTATGCTCCAAATGATCTACTGCTATTCAAGCACCTAAGAAAATCTGAAATCCACTGCTCACCAACCTCAGAAACTACTACAAGTTTAGAGATGAAACCAAATTTGTGGTGGTCTTAAATGCCACCCCCATGTGAAAAAGCCTAGCACACACATAGGCAGATCTGCTAACCAACAGGGAAGACAAACAAAAAAAGAAACACAGGAACAGGCCTGATAAAATGTTAACAAATAAAAACCATGAAAAAAACACACTAGATTTTCATTCAGCTGCTATAGAGTCATCACTTCAGGTGTAGTTCAACGCGAAAGATGAACATTTTACACAAAGCCACTTAAGATTCGCAAGTAGGGTTAAATCAAAGTTCCTACTTCACATTTGGTATTGTGTTTCAGCCATGCTTTCCCTCCCTTCCTCAGCCCCAGAAGTATTTTGGGCCTGCGCAGAGCATCGAATAGCAGTTCAACACCTCTTTAAAAAAAAAAAAAAAAAAAAAAGCACCTGGAAAGGGCTTCCTACAGCAGAGCCTCGAAGGGTCGTATTCAGGCAGGCCTCTCAGCAAGGACATCCCAGAAGGTCACGACGGGTGCAATGCAGAAGCCGCAGCAGTGCGTTTGTTTCAAAAACCCTGTGCGAGCCCTTTCTCTTGAGGTATTAAACTGGTACCCCACAAGCCACTGAAGGCTTCCTGCAGTTTGCATTTGCACCGCAGAGGCTGCTCATCCCCAAATCGTTGAGATAAACTAGTGCCAAGCAGTTTTGCCCCCCTCCTCCCCTCCATTTCTCTAATCACACATCCGCTCAGCACATAGAGAATGCATCCTCTAAAACACAGAGGGGCAGGAGGGGGATGGACAGATGGGGGAGGACAAGAGCTGCAACATACAGTTTGTTTAGCAAGTTTATCAGTAAATATTTGCCTTAGGTGGGTGTTTGTTCTTTCATATAGGGAGGAAGTGACTTGGACAAGGCTAGAAAACTGGAAAATATCCCCTTTTTCCTTTCTCCATGCTGATGTCTAACACCAGCACATCTTCAAAGAAGTTACTACATCTCTCATTTGTGATAGCACCAAGTTCTATCCCTTCTTCTCCCTACTGTAAACTTTAACATGCTGCCCCAAAAGCGCAAAGAATTTGGCAAAACTAGGCATCAGCTTTCAGTGCACACCACCAAAAATACATGCTTAACAGACAAACCAACCAACCGCCCTCCACCTCGCTCACAAAGCATTACACAGCGTGAGACCTGTAAACATCTACCTACCTTCAGGAGCTACAGTAATTGTCAGCATCACATATGGACATTGGGTTATAAAGCATAGGAGAGCTAAAAATGGTTCAAATCCAGAGCCCGTTGGGACAAGCTCCCTTCTGCGCCTGCGACGCCCTGCGCTCCGTACACACTTCCCATCTGCCTCCGGCTGCACTCGTGCACGGGTTAAATTCGCTTTGCGAGTGGTTTTGTGCTGGACAGGGCGGCAGCAGTGATCTTAATGGCTTTTGCTTTTTATTTGTAACCTTGGAACTTATTCTAAAATTGTACATTTAAATAAAAACATTAATTTTAATCCAGTATGCATCAAATGAATTAAAAACTATCCTGTCCACACAATGCTTTCTTTAAAAGGCCAAATCTAAAAAGTGAAAACAGAAGAGACAAGTTACTTTGGCTGCAAATAATTCAAAAAATCTGGCTCAACATTCTGCTTGTGTGTGATGATGTATAATTTGTATAAGACACTCCAGTCAGCTACTTCATCTGCAGTTACGTAGGAACAACAATACCCTTGGCCAGCAAAATGAGAAGAGCAAGGTCTGCGTTTCCATCTGCCTGTTCCAAAGCTTCAAGAGCTTCCTGCATGGTGAAACCAGCGCAGAGGATCCGATTGATGTCGGCCACAGGGAAGGCGGGCGGTGGAGAAGCAGCGGAGGTGAGTTCAGAAGAGCCAGCAGGCAGGTGCAGCCTTGGTTCCTCAAACCCCCATGACAGCCATGGACCTTTGGGAGTTGAGGTGCTGCTTCTCCCAGGTGCTCCCGTGAGCAAGCTCTGAGTATCTTCAGACACATCTTTATTCAAAGTAGGTTTAGCAGGAACAGATGCATTTGCCTCTGAAGTCAGATTTGTTGGGTTCCTATCACATTCTGCCAAAATATTTGTCTGCCCAAAGCTCTGTTGCTGGTCAGCAGATGTCATGGCAGAATTCAGCATGATCAGATCACTCTTACCTGAAAGCTTCTGCATCTCTGTAACATCTTTTCTGCCAGCTGACTGTGTATGACTGATACATGTGACACAAACATTTTCTGCTCCACAATCACCATGCACTTCCCCCAGTGGTTGCTCTGCATTTCTATCTTCAGAGCTCTCCTTACTGAAAGGGCAGTTTTGTTCCTGGCTGTTTGGATCTACATCTTCATGCTTATCTTCAGGAAGCCCCGCCTGGTTTGCTTGTTCCTTGTGAGCTATTTCCAACTGAGAAACTTCTTCAGATGGGAGGATTTTACAATCTCCTTTGCGACTGATAATCAAGAGTTTGTGAAGCTCTTTCAAGGCTGATGCAAGAGAGAAATACGACTCTTCTGAGGATGCTCCTGGGTCAGTGTCCAGCTGATGGATGCTGGAGGGGCAAGAGCTATTTTCAGAGGTTAAATTAGGCAACTCATACTCTGCAGAAATTTCATTGGTGTCTTCAGACTGCAGCACATCACAAATGGAAACTGGATCATTCAAGGAGGAGTCAGACTTCAGGGACTCCACCTCCATAGAAGGAGGATCCGAGCTCACATCAGATACACTTCCATTCTCAGCTTGCCATTCCTGC